AGAGGCTCTACCCTCTCTATATTCGCTTTCAGCGTACATAACAAAGTAACTAATCTAACATAGTATTTCCGTTTCTGGGTGCCGCCTGCCACCGCCTTCGTCTTGTTGATGCTGACTCGCTCGTTCATCCGCCGCCGTCTACATCTTGTTGCTGCTGTCTCGCCATCYGCTGCCTAGCTCGTTCGTCTGCCTCCCGTGTCAYYATGATACTTCCCACGAGACTAGATACTCTGCGYCAATCCTCATTTGACCGCAACATGATCTCCACAATATTCTCCGCCGACAGCCTCTCCACGCCCAGGTACACGCACGCCGTGTTTCTACAATGGTAAAACGCATCGCACTCGAACACAGCGTGTTCCGCTGTGTCGGGCGATGCCCMWCACAGGGAACACGACTTGGTGTTAGCGTTGCCAAAACGAAAAAGATTGTTATTAAAGCAGCCGTGTCCGGACAGCAGTTGGCATAGGTGGAAAGTGACCTCGCCGTGTTTTCTGTCAAGCCATGGCCCCAAGTTGCCTATTAGACGGTGCGTCCATCTTCCCTTGCTGGAAGAGTTCCAGGCGGTTTGCCAGCTGGACAGTAGGTTTGCTCTGGCTGTGTTCCTGTCGACGCCCCGGAAGATACTTACTCTCTCTTCGGCTAGTAGCTTTAACGGAGRCATACCGGTGATCACAGACGCGGCTTCATGAGATACTGTACTGTAGCAACACGCTACCCTGAGCATTGCCCTCCTGTAGATTGACTCCATTTTGTTGAATGCTTTTGTGGTAATTGACGGGAACCAGAAAGGCGCACCGTAGAGCAACCGAGAGGTGACCACCGTGGCTAGCACTCGCCGAGTCTTTTGCTTCGCTCCTCTTAAGTTAGGTTAGGTTATAAGTCCATAAGTCCGGACCAATGACCGAGCCTTGAGGCACCCCGCAACTCACTTTAATCGGTCGTTCCCTGCCATCTCCACTCACCAAGATGGTCCTGTTCGAGAGGTACTGCCCAATAATGTTTCGTAGGTATTTCGGGGTTCCCTTCCGTTCGAGTGCACTCATAATGCAAGGCTAGGACGCACTGTTGAATGCGTTTTTGACGTCCAGTAGAAGCATTCCCACGAACTAGTTCCTTGCTTGGCCTCTTCCGTTAGCATCCCGATAAACACTCCTCACCCTGGACATAGCATGTAGTGTGGACCTTCCGCGCTTAAAACCATATTGGTTATCAGTGGTGTTTCCAGACGTCTGCAGGTGCTCTCGAAGCCTCGCCGTCAATAATTTTTCAAAGARCTTGCCGGTCGAGTCTAGCATACATAGAGGGCGGTATGCAGATGGGTTGTCCAACGGCTTTCCCGGTTTCCGGAGGAGGACTAGTTTTGCCACCTTCCAGATTTCAGGGTAGATGGCGCCTCCAATACAGTAGTTAAAGAGTTCAGCAAAGTGTTCGGGGTGCAGGCCAACTGCTACCTTCAGTACCTCGTTGGGTATCCCATCTGGCCCTGGCGCCTTTCCGTTTGGCAAGGTCTTCGCGGCTGCTGCTACGTCGACTGGTGTAAAACGGGCTTCATCAAGTTCTTCCTGGCTGATTGGAGCGATCTTATTCGTGATGGTTGCTCTTGTGGGGAAGAGCGTGTCTACTATGGTGTCCAGTCGTCCTGGCAAATCGAGGCCCGGTATCGGTTTCCTGACGTTCAACTTTTTCATAATTATCTTGTAGGGTTGGCCCCAAGGATCTTTTTCAACAAGTTCGCACAGACGCTTCCAGTTCTCATCCTTTGCAGCCTGGATCATGATGGACAGAGTTTTCCTTTCGTGCTTGAAAGATTCCAACTCCGCCGCGCATCCAGCGTCATCCGTTTTCTTCCTCTTGCGAGTGAATGCCCTACGTGCTTTGAGGCACTTTCTCCTCTGATCCGCAATGTCAGGAGACCACCACCGAACCGGACGGCGGTTGTTTTTACCCGATTTAGGCATACTACCGTCACATGCTCGCGTCAGCCACCTAATTGTAATGTTGCATGCCTCCTCTGCGTTTTGATCACCCACGTGCGCAACTCGCTGGAGGGCCTCCTTGAGCTTCGACTGATCCAGTTTCCTGGTAAGTAGTTCGTTGCGCCGCGATGGAGTACTGGACGTACCGGTGAAGGCTGAGGGACTCTTCGTCCAGTACTTTCCAGTCGCGCACTCTGTCCGCTACAGCACGCGACGCAAACGCAATGTCGATGTGAGACTCCGAGGCACCTCTGACGAAGGTCGGCTCGTTGCCCTGGTTGCAGGAGATCAACCCCAGTTACGCGATGAGGTCAGCCAGAGCCTTACCTCTGTTGTCCTCCTTGCAGCTGCCCCAGTCCCGTGACTTGGCATTGAAGTCTCCGTCGACTATAACAGGCCCTTTAGCCTCGCGGATGCTAATTTCCAGTCGCCTTAAGAAGGTCTCGAACTCGGTGAATGGGACATTTGGGGAGCAGTAGCAGCTAAAGAGCCGTAATCCGTTTGTCTCGATCCATCTAAACCCTGAGAAGCAGGGGCCAATTACTTCGATCTGGTGTCTTCCGAGGACCGCAATCGCCGCCCTTCCGCCTGCATCTGGGTACCAGCCTTCCTCCTCTCCCTTGTCGCGGTACTGCTCGCTAACTAATATTATGTCGACCGCCTTCTCATTCGCCGTGGCTAAAGCGAGATCTTGCGCCCCTCTGCAGACTCCGACGTTGATCTGCAGGATGCGGATCATTGCGTGGCTTCTTGTATCACTGCCATCCCATCAGCCGTAGACCTCCCGGCGTCGGTTTGTTTACCGGCGTGCCTCTTCGGCTGTTTATTCCCGCTTCCGCCCCCGATTTGTTGTTGGGCCAGTTCCGCCTTGAAGATTGCTTTTGCCTCATTGTTGGCCTTGCAACTTGACTCGTAGTGGCCGTTAGCGCCGCACGCCCGGCAACAGTTACGCCTATCCGGCCCTGTACATTCAGCCCTGGTGTGCCCAACGGTCAAACATTTCGAGCATCTGCCCCTCCTTCTCTCCTCCCAGAGACGCACCCTACRGTTGGTGTAGCCCACCCTTAGCCTTCCGGCTGTCAGGAATTTGCTCGCAAAAAGTGCTGGTAGAGAGATAATTGCCCATTTCTGACCTCTGCTGAGGTCCCAAGTCGAGATTACCCTAACCCAACTGCCGGCTCTGGGGTTTCCGAGGCCCCTGTAGCAGTAACATCAGTATTTTTTGTTGCGTCCATCATAAGTTTTGAAATGGTTGCTTGGCCGCCACTGCCAACGCCAGCATCGCGTCGGTTGTCCAGTTTGCCGTAGTGTTGCCCTGATCTTTCGGGACACCGGGGTCGATCAATCCCCAGTGGTGGTTTACGGTGGCCATCCGTGTCCGTTTGCTGATGTTGTCGGGTGGACAGAACCTGCCGGAACCTGACCGTGTGGGTGAGGGCCGGGTCGATGTAGCACCGGGGGTGGTGAGCCCCCGGTGGTGAGCTTGTCCGCGACCGCTTATTCGTCCATCCCGAAGGTNTTCCTCAATTTAGATTGACTAAATAGATATTTACTTAATTTTTTGATATATTAATTTTTAACAACTCCAGTTCATCATCATAGCTGTTCTAGTGAGAGATCATTCTCAAAAATTTCTTTAATGAAGTCAAAGTTGCGGAATACAATGAAATTGGATAGATTATTTTCCTTAATTATTATTTGTATAGCAAGACGTATTGACTTAAATTACAATATGATGTGATTGAAGAATTTAAAGCATT